CAGCCCTTCTATCCTCCCATGATTGATCTCTCCAAGAAGTGATTCCACCTAATGTAAATATTCATCTCATATGCCTATCTTTTGTTTGGCTGAAAGCCACAGGAGTGGGCTTCCAGACCTGAAGGGCAGCTGGGGGCCATAGTCTTCAGTGGTTCCGTCAGGCTCTATCAGACCAGCAAACCAAATCCCTTTTTTTTTTTTTTTTTTTTTTAATGATTTTGAGTTTTGTTCCACATAGGTCTCACACTCTGCCCAGGATCTCCTACATAGATTCCCCCTCCAAGTTGTTGACAGTGGCAAACCTTAATCTTCAAAGTGAGATCTTTGCTTTTTAATACTTCAAAGAGATCTTTTGCAGCAGATTTACCCAGTAATTTACCCATCATTCAATTTCTTGACTGATGGTACCATGGGCATAGATTGTGGATCCAAGTAAAATTAAATCCTTGACAATTCAGTCTTTTCTCTTTTTATCATGATGTTGCTTATTGGTTTATTGGTCCAATTATGAAAATACTTGTTTTCTTTATGTTGAGGTGTAATCCATACTGAAGGCTATAGTCTTTGACCTTCATAAGTAAGTGCTTTAAGTCTTCTTCACTTTCAGCAAGCAAAGTTGTGCCATCTGCATATTGCAGGTTGTTAATGAGTCTTCCTCCAATCCTGATGTCACATTTATCTTCATATAGTCCAACCTCTAGGGTTATTGGCTCAACATACAGAATGTATAAGTATGGTGAAGGATACAACTCTCTTAATGCACACCCTTCCTGATTTCAAAAACCTCTTGTTCTGCTTGAATGACTGCCTCTTGTTTATGTACAGTTTCCACGTGAACCCAATTAAGTGTTCTGAAATTCCCATTCTTTAAAGTGTTATCCGTTATTTATGATCCACACAGTTGAATACCTTTGCATAGTCAATATCATAAATATTGTATTATAAATATATTCATTGTTAAATCAAGAAACATTGAACTACTTTAGGATGCAGAGCTCTTTTAAGTGCTAAGGTGTGTCTTTAGATGTTCTTTTATTTAAATAATATTTTGGGTTTTTGGTTAAAGTTTATATAGAAAATTAAGTTCCCATTTGACAATTTTAACACAGAATTGTTCAGTGACATTAGTTACATTTATCACAGTGTGTCAACATTCTCTTTAATTGTATTTTGTTTGTTCCTTATCTCTGCAAGCTGCTCTGGCTCTTGTTAGCACCTGGACACTTGGGGGTTTGCTCATTTGCACCTGCAGTCCTCTGCCTCTGGGAATGTGCTCTTTTCCTAGCAACCTTGGTGAGCCTGGTCTGAATAGGAAATCCTGAGGGATGGAGCAGAGTAGCAGCAACCCAGGATCTCCCCATAGGCCCAGACCTTTGAGGTTGGTAGGGCATGGCATGTGCCAGCACAACAGAGGTAGTTGCAACGTCTACAGTTTAGGGCCTGCAAACCTCACAGCAGCTAGGAGGCGGCAGTGTTCGAGGAGTGAGGCTAAGCCATGGAGCCAAGTTGTGGCTGCCACGTTGCAGCAAACTTGATGCCAGCCTGCCTCCTTGCGCCCTTCCAAGCAAAGCCCTCCTCCTGGCCCCTTGGCTCCACTGAGCATTATGTACATTATGCGGGCCTGTATCTGTACTCTAGTTTCCTTTCCCCTTTTCTTCTCACAGGGAGCTCTCTCTGGTAGTGTAGTGCCTAAGGCATTTGACTGTTAACCAAAATGTTGGTGGTTCAAACCCACTAGCTGCCCCATGGAAGGAAGACTGGCAGTTTACTTCCATAAAGATTTGCTGCCTCAGAAACCCAAAGGGGGTCGCCATGAGTTGGAATTAACTCACTAGCAGTGAGTTTGGTTTGGGTTTTTTTTTTTTTTTTTTTTTGGTAAAGAATATCTCAGGATGATAGTCCCAGGGAGTCCTCTGTCCTCTGTTCTCTACTCTTCGATCTACCTTACTTTTTTTTTTTTTTTAATTTGATTCTTCTCTACTTTTTTTCCCCCATCCTATCCAGACTGTCTAATGTGATCTGGGTTGGAAGTGTCAGTGGTGGTAGCTAGGTAGTTCAGGTCCCAGGGTATGAGGTTGTGGCTCCTGTAGACTTGTTTCCTCTCTGAGCTTTGGTTACCTTCTTTCTGTTTTCTCCTTGCAGGTAGAGAACAATAGTTGTGTATTACATGGCCACTCCTAAACTTTTAAAACCCCAGATGCTACTCACTTCACTAGGATGCAGATGATGATTTTTGTCAACTGCGTTATGCCACCTGGTTGATTTATTCCACATGACTTTGGTCCTAAGCTTTCAATCCCAGAAAACCAATCTTTGTTATGTCTGAAGGATAATCATAGTTGGGTCTTCAATAGATATATGTATCTGCACCCACATGTTTATGTTTGCACGAACCTATAGATACTTTAAAGGAGGTCTGTTGGGATAATGGATAAGACATTTGGCAGCTAACCACAGGGTTGGTGTTTCAAACCTCCAACTGCTCTGTGGGAGGAAAATGAGGCAGTCTACATCTATAAGATTTACAGCCTTAAAAACCCAACAGGGCTTACTGTGAATCGGATTGTACTTGATGGCAGTGTGTTTGGGGTTTTTCTGGTGTAGATACTTTGGGCCTCACCTGTATACACCTGTATCTACCCATATACCAATATGCCTGTACTCATTCATATGTGCTCAAACACTCGTGTTTTACTTTGGTTGTGCTGTACTCACTATGGGAGCTCTGGTGGCGTAGTGCCTAAGGCATTTGACTACTAACCAGAAGGCTGGCAGTCAAACCCTACCAGCCACTCGGAAGGAAGGTTGAGCTATCTACTTCCGTAGTAATACTGCCTCAGAAACCCAAGGAGGGATCGCTATGAGTGGGATCTGACTCAACAGTAGTAAGTTTGGTGTGTTTTTGGTTTTTGAGCTCACTGTATCTGCATTTGGTGCCCACCACTTTTCCCTTCACCAAAAATAACTAGTCTGTACTGTTCAGGTGCTATCCTTACCCCAACCCCTTTCCTGGTAACTACCAGTGAACATTGGTCTGTCTATATTTATATGTTCTTACCTTCTTATACAAGAGAGATCATACAATATTTGTTCTTATGTGCTTGACTTGTTTCATATAGCATCGTGCCCTCCAGGACCATTCATGTTATATTTGTTTTGCAGACTTGTCAGTATTCTTTATGGTTGTGTAGTATTCCAGTGTCTATAGGAACACAGTTTGTTTATTCATTCATCCATTGATGGGCACTGCAACTGTTTCATTTATTTGCTGTTGTGAATAACGCAGCAATGAACATAGGTGTGCATATGTCTGACCATGCTGTTATATTTACGTCTCTAGGGTATATACCTCAATGGGATTGCTAGATTATACAGTAGTTCTATTTCTGATTTTGTGAGAAATCACTGTCCTGTTTTCCATAGTGGTTGTACCAATTTACAGTCCCACCAGCAATGAATGAGGGTTGCAATCACCCCACATCCTTGCCAACATTAGTTGTTAACTGCTTTTGTTATTAGTACCATTTTAGTTAGGGTAAGATGGTATCTCATTATAGTTTTGATTTGCATCTCTCTAATGACTAATGAACATGAACATCTTTTCATATATTTGTTGGCTGCTTCCATATCATCTTCGATGAAGGTTCTGTTCATGTCCTTTGCCCATTTTGTGATTGGGTTGTTTTTTTTTTGTTGTTGTTGTTGAGTTATTACAGTTTTCTGTACATCTTAGAGATTACACCCTTATTGAATGTCATTTCCAAAGATTTTTTTCTCAGTCTGTAGGTTGCCTATTTACTCTTTTGATAAAGTCTTTTGATGAGCAGAAGTTTTTAATTTTCATGATGTCCTATTTATCTATTTTGTTTTCTTCCATTTATGCATTTGCTGTTATGTTTATTGTTGTTGTTAGGTGCCATTGTGTCGGCTCCAACTCATAGCAATCCCATGTATGACAAAATGAAATACTACCCAGACCTATGCCAGCCTCATGATCCCTGCTATGCCTGAGCCCATTGTTCC